AGGAGGGGCCATTCCGCGCTAGAAGTGAAGCACTGCTTTGAAGCTTGGGTCACCAGACGGGGTGTTCTTTGTTTACATTCAGAAGCTCGCTTGACAAGATTCTGATAGTATTTCGACACACGACAGTTGCATAGAAATCGAAAAAGGGACACTCTCGCATGAAAGAAACATTCATAGTGTAATGGATAATAGCAATTTGTATAGTTTACTGACAATTACGCAAAAATCACATCTTGGTTATTTTTCGATAACTAACAACAGCGATTTTGATTATGAATTTGTTTTATAAAATTCTAAGCAGTTGCACTACAAAAATATAGATTTTAAGAAAATTGCTAAAAGAGATCTGCCAAAATTTATTTTCTAGAAGATTTGAAAAGTTTGAAACTTGATGGCTAAATGTAAATATAAAATTATGTATGTTAAAATATTTGTAATTAGGCACATAGGTCAGATTAAGTTTTTATTAAATAGAGTAACGCATGCAAGGGCTATCTGCCTAAAGAGAGAGATGCCATCGTGGAGGAATTTTGAAGAAAAACTGACCTTTGAGTGGGTATTAAAAATAATACTTATAATTTACATTCAAATTATATTCATATATATATTTTTATGTAAAACTTTCGGGTGTATGCTAAATTAGTGTAAATTATTTTACACGAAAAATATAGTGAATGCACAGAAATTAAAGATTTGCACATGCCGGAAATGATAAATAGGAAATATGTATGGGTATTTATGCATGTGCTTGCAAAAAGCATGTATCTGCCTTTGACAAAATACTTTAATATTCATTAAATTATTTATAAATGTATTTGAAATGAAGAATTTATTCACTTATAAACAACTGTGAAAGTACTGTGAAGAAATCTAATGATTAAATGTATCTAATTTATAATGATTATAAATGTTATCTAAATATATAATAACCTTAATATTGAATTGTAAACATAAATTGAAATCCTGTTGACAAATACGTTATAAAACTATTTAAGCAAGAATTGTTCGTATTGGAAAGCAATCTGTAAAGTAAATGCTATGAGATGCGCACTTAAGAACGTAATAAAGAGTTTTGGAATATGTATTGTTGAAATGAAGGGTTAAAAAAAAAATCTGATAAGTATAATTAAAAGAATTATTCCTTTTACATTTTATAATAACTTACTTACAAGTTTTAAATAATACTTAAAAAAAAAAAAAAAAAAAAACTTATTTTATTCTCTTTCAGAAATGTTCAGAGAAAGTCAAATACTATTTAATACCTATTTAATTATTAGGAATTAGCGAAATACTTATTTAAAGTATTCCTAATAATTCTCTAATTTAAAATGAACCGAATAGAGCATTATTTATAAATTGACTTACATTTTTCGATTTAAAAGAAGCCAAAAAATCATGTCATATTTAAGAAAGTATTTTAGGAAGAAGCTCTATAAATAGAAAAGAAATAATGCATAATTTTAATATTAATAATACAATAAACTTTGATCTTAATTTTTGTACCTTAACCGAATAAAATCGAATTACCTTAATTTTTTTTTCTAATGTAATTAACGAAAACTTGTGAAAATATTTCATTCAAATTAAACCATTCTGAGAAAACTGTCCTGTGAAAAGTATAGCATTTAATTCCGTTCAGAATGAAATGTTGTTTAAAAATATGTTGTTTTCACATACTTAGGACTCTGAAGTGTTGTAGAAAAAGAAAATATATACATTTATATGTATATTTGCGACGTAATTACAAAATATTTACACCCGAACGCGTCAAATCCCACAGAACTCAATGGTAAATGACCCAATGTTTTGGTCACCACGTAGGGATCGCCGGTGCTTCAGAGCAGGGTACGGAGAAACTTGTTTAGGGCGACTCCATCTTACTTCCTACCTCCATGGGCCAGCAGCCGTGATTCTCTCCAGGGTGGTGTGCCAATGTGATATTCGGAATCCTGAAATGGATAGCTGTCGAAGGAAGGATTAGGAATATGGATCTAGTAGAGTGTCTCGGACAGCATTTCCTACGACGTCAAGTACCTCCCGACCTAAAAGGAATTGCCAAGCAGATTCTACTACATAACGCAGCAGTTTATACCACTGAACAGCAATGATTCAGGTTATGTTCTTTCCTCACATGTCATAGGTTGACATATTCTGTTTATCTGCTTTGTAAAGTTCAAGATAAAGCACCTACTAAAATTTCTGTTTCATCATACATCAGGTACGCTTCTTTCGTAGGCAACCGCGTTTTAAACTATGCAAATACTTTCACCATTGCTGAAAACCAAATAACATTGCCAAAAATAAAGCTTATCGCCATCTTAGTTTTATTTTCTATCTAGAGTGAAATATAAAAAGGTAAGGTAAGTCATGACTTCCGAGTTTCGATTGAGCTGTTTTATGGTTTATAACAAAGCAATAAACTGGACTTTTTTTCTTGCTTGAAGTTTGATATCGATCTTAAGAAAATGCCTCAATTTCTATTTATTTGAATAAAAAATAGGAGAAAAATAATCTTCTGTGCAATATATTATAAAAATAAAATTAAATAGAAGCAATGTGTTTTAAGTTTTGTAAAGATATGTATTAGTATTATTGTTGTTATGGGTTAACATTATAAACTAGATTTTAAATTTCGAAGCACTTTCAAAAGCATTTATGATGAAATGGATTTTGAGTGAACCAGAGACACTGGTGTTTTTCGATTATTTTTACGACGAAAAAAAAAAAAAAAAAAAGAAAAAAAAAAAGAAAAAAGAAAATCTGAAAGGTTTCAGATTTTAAATTACATCCAAAGGGGCGTTTTTTTAACGTTTTGTGTGTTACCTTTATTTATTAAATATCACGTTCTTCGAACTTAAACCATAAAATTCAGTTCAAGAGCATAATCGCAAAATAGTTTTTAATTGAGAGTATCTTTAGAATTTCCGATACGGAGTCTCGCACGCTGGAGATAAAAATGTTTTTTCTTTACAAAGTTGCCATTTCTCGCTTTGAAATCATTGAGTTTTTTAATAAAAAATCCGTTGAAAATTTAGAAAATTTGAAATCGATAATAAAATAAATTCAAATTCCAAACTAGGGCTTCCACGTGCCCATATTCTATGAAAGATTACGTTATTCAAAATTCGATGGCTCTATGTACCGTTGTTTTATCACTGTGCGAGAATTATACATACATTTATGCAGGTTTTTCATTATTTAATTTCTGCAAATATAATGCAGGACTCTAACATTTAGTGGCAACAGTTTCAAAAGTAAAACGGACATTTTTAGTGAACCAACGCAAAATCGCAAAACGAAAACAAGGGCAAACAATCAACGTCCAAAGGCCCTTTGGACTGTAAAAAAATGTGATGTCCACATCCAGAAAAAATGCCATTCTACATAATTCGTAAAAACAATTTGCATCGTAATTATATTAGCGTTTTAACACAACTGACTGCATATCCGATTCAGATGGCGTTCACAAGAGAACACATAAAACCTCCTCTCAGGCTACAGTCCAAAAGGGTAGCCAAGCTTCCAGGATGTAAGGAATAAGAAACTGTGGAAGACGGTATAGGATAAAGAGACATTATAAAAGGAATAATGCCTAGCAGTGATTTAGAGTGCTTAATGCTTGACAAACAAAACTAGGTTCGTGAACATCTAGAATCAATATACTTTGCTTTACAGTGATATATTGAAAAAAGGCTTGTTAAAATATTCTTGAGTGTGAAAAAGCTGTGGTAATACCGGTCAAGAAAGATATTTTGAAGAATGGAAGATTTAGGGATTAAATTAACAGCCTATCATTTTTTTATGTGTAATAAAGTTAAAACCCTCGGTTTCATGAATGAAATAACTTTGTTTTATTATAATAATGCCTGCAGATTTTTTTTATTAATTTAGTTTGGAACAAACACCGAGTTGTTACCAAATGCATAGGTGGTAGCGTATGTTTTTCAATCTCGGTTATGCGGATCTTGTATAATAGAACAAGTTGTGGCTCGTCCTCCACACAAAACAATCTGGAAATGTTCTCGCAAATGATATACTGGATGGGACTATCAATCAAATGTCTTTTTCCATTTTCGTGGCTTTAACGCCGGTCTGAGGAGGGCTTGTCCACATCAGCCAATTTATGAACTCCCATTTGTCCTGCAGAAAACGATTTCATTTTCCAGTGAGGGAAATTTTTACACGCTTGCGATCCCTTCCTGCCCTCCCCCCCCACACTTTCTTGAGCAAAAAAAAAAAAAAAAAAAAAACCGGAGGTTGTATGGGGGAAAATAGAGAAAAGAAAAAAACCTCTTTGGATCCGGGTTATACTTGTAAATCGCGGCAGAAGCTGGACTCTGAGATCATCAGGAACTACCTGTCACTGGGCCATTGCGCATTGTGACGGAATTCCTCCCCGAGACACGTGGCCCTGACCCGCCCCTCTTTCGCTAACACCCTGTCGCCCCCGGGCGCCGTATGCCTCTCGCACCTTGGCGAAACAATCTTGGCGACCACCTATCTTCATCTTGATTTTTATAATACCTAGAATGGCGGAGGTTACATCAAAGAATATGAAGAGGGATTCAAATTCTTGGGTTACATCTCCAAAATTGCATAAAGTTACCTATTTTGAAAATAGCCACAGATGAAAGAGCAGAAAACTTAAGATTACAGAAAATTATTAGAAACTCAAGTTTCTCCGATTCTTAGGTTTGCCAAAATTCTAAACATGAAATTAAAGGCAGAAAAATTTTCCCTGTACTTTATTAAGGTTAATAATAAAGAAAAATCCTTACAAGTTATTGGCCTTGGTTAATAAAGATCTTTTAAAATATAAAATATTAGTGTTAGGATTTAGAAAATAAATTGACTTTTTAAAATAATTTAAAATTTCATTATAAATAAACTGCAACATATAAAACCAAATTTTTTATATGTCTTTGAAAATGTAGAATGTCCTATAAAACTCAACGTAAAGATTTAAAAATTAATCTTCAAATCCTCAAATTCATCTCGATTTTAATACCCTCTCCCCGCCCGAAGGTGGAATGAAATGTACAACAAATAGATGCTGGAAGCTCGCTTGATAGCGATTCATTGCGTAACCATTAATTTAAATGTAGAGTGTCTTTATTAGAAGAATATATTGGATGATTTTTAATATATGACACCACTGAAATTATTCAAATTTGTTCAAGACAGTGACATGGCAATGATATCAAGACTTGGGAATTTAAAGCCCAATATGTTCAATGTGTGACCCTTCCTTGACACGGACATTGTGCAACCTAACACTCAAACTGCACATCACTGTAACTAATGTGTCGCCAGAACTGTCGAAAATTTCTGCCTCTGTTGACTGTTTCAGTTTGGGAATCATACTGTAGTTGAAAAGTGCTTAGCACCAGGCTACGTTGGCGCGGGGCCCCAACCCAAATCGAACAAAATTAAAACTTTCCAAGTACATTTCCGGGAATAACTAGTCCAATGAAGAATAAATTTGTATAAGTTTTTTTTATATCTATATAATAATGTTTTAAGGTAAGGTAATGTACTCGGATGGTGACTAATACATAGATACATAAGGTAAGCATGAATTACAGATGCCAGATTAAATAACAATATATACAGTGTATACAGTATAATAGAGATTTTTTTACAAGACAGTAAATAAAAGATACATCAATCCTCCAAAATTATACTAGGGTTCAGTACTATCATAGGACTTTTGTTACTAGCAGTATTCCTATAATCACAGTTGTAGATATTTAGTTCAGTATTGTATAGGGCATCTTGGCAGGGAAATTTATAGCTAAATAATAATAATAAGCACGGAGTGCAACAACTGTTAGTTCCCCATGAATTGCGCACGTACCAGGGTGCGTTACAGGTCTGATGCACAACACAGTTCTGCGCCTTTTGTAATTTTTCTGCTAGATTTACAGAAGTATGCCAAGACTGGACAGCGTAACATAGCATGGGACATATAATCTGTAAGTGAGTAACCTGTTATCTATAGATAGAACACTGTTTCGAGCAATCAAAAAGTGGAAAAGTTTTGCTTTACGCACTCGGCGCTTCTTTATGATATCCTGTGTGTGTGGGAATCCTGTAAGACACTTTGTGAGGATCACCCCAAGATAAGTGACTAGTTCGGGAATAGTTGCAGGTTGTTTTAAACACTCTGTCTGTCTCAAGAAACAGTCACATGGAGGCAGCACATCCCGTGATATTAGTGGCCATTCAAGTCCCTTCCAGCAACACACGTTAGACAACACAAGTTGATGAAATATCTCATGAAGATAATAGAGGCTTCTTCTTGTCGCGTGAGGTCTTGCATCGTGCTGTTGAAATCAGCAAGTTGAAGGATCATCAAGCATGTCAAGCAAAAAAGAAACACATTCTTCCTGAAGAGTCCTGAGCTACACTTCATTCATGATGTTTCTATCAATGAACACTAGAGAGAAAATGTCAACATAAAATATTTCCCACCACACGGTAACCAGTTCTAAATTTAAAGGATTATTAACAGCGGCATGTGGACTCTGCAATGCCCATAATCGTAAATTTTGTTTATTGGTATATCCGTTTAAATGGGAATGAGTCTCATCTGTGAACCATAGGTTGTTCGACACATCAGAGTCACTTCCCAGAAGTTGATTGAAAGCAGTTGTAAACTCGAGCCTTTCTCATTAGGCGACAAAGGTTGAATGAGTTGCATTTTGTATGAATATGCTGACAGACCACTGCCACAAATTTTTCTAGCAAGCAGTACTATGCAACAATGAAAATTTTGGCAAACTTGTTCTGGGACTTTGCAACAGTATAATAGGTGATAATCTCGCCCTTCTGCAATTCTGTTCGGATTCCTGATTGTTTTTCGTCCATTTTTGTATTTTCTTCCACCACAAGCATTGCTAGTATTTGGAATTTCTGTACTAACCTTAATATTGTATTTTCGTGTGATATAATCCACACATTGAACTGAATGCGGTAGAATTTTTGAGTTAATGGAGTTTCCTTTATTGTAAGTGCTTCAGAGTGACGAATCTTTGCTCTTTATTCTTTTACCCTTCCATTTATCTCTTGTTAGGGAATAACAGTTCCACAAGTTTGACACTCCATACAGCTCACCTGCAAAAAAAAAGGAAAACATTGATTTAGAATCGTTTTGGCCATAATGTTCCTTCTTCTTTTTGCTTTCTTTATCTCTCTCTCAAAATATAACATGGTACTAAAAAGTAGAAAAATGCTTCAAAGCCATTTGCACTACAAAACAAATTACGCAATCTCAGATAATGACTTCGTAGTACAAACCTTCTACACCGAGTACTCTAATGACTACTGACAGCAAAATTCAAGTATTGCAAGTTACACGGATGTGGTATGATTCTGTTTCTTTAAGATTTTGAAGACAGAAATATTTTCAGTGGTGCCTTCCATGACTATTTTATAGCTAGAAAGCAAAGGACTCGAAAATTTAATGGTTTTGATGTATGCGATTTAAAGAAAGTGTACACAAAGAATACCTGACACGTCAAATTTTTATCCTTCCACCACCTGTAATATATGACTCACATTTGCATTAATATATTATGGTTAAAATTTGCATTATTAATTAAATTTTCTCCTTCGTTATAAAACATTAGATATTTTACCACATATATGTCAGTTAAATTCTAAGTTTGTCAAATTTTCATACGAAAACTAAAAGCATTTAAAGTTTATACTGAATGTAGTATTGTAAACAAAAGAGCCTTATTCATAATCAAATATTTTCAAATTAAACTACCTATCAGTCAGTTTTATCCCTTCAATACGAAGACTTCTTAGCAGATTAAGTGATTAACGTGTACTGTGCAAGCCAGTTATTGCTAAGCAGGAGTTATTTAATAATGTTACAGTATATATTATAACACACTTTGACAAACTACTAAAAATAGTTAAAAGCAGACTTTTTATTACAACTAAAACGTTCGACTGTTATTATTGCAACCGTTATCAAAATTTTCTCTGCTACGACCGTTTTATTTACACTGGTTATCATAAATTACGGAAAAATCACAAAAATCACGATTACTGAAAACGTTACATGTAGAATTTTCTGAAACTTACCCTCAATATACAACACATAGTAAGGTATCAAATAAAATAAAAAGAAATTACCAGACAATTATGGTAGTATAGAAATTAGCACACATATAAAATGAACAAATCGAAGATGTCAATTTGCTATAGTAAAAGTACCTTCAACATGGAATATAATCGCCTCTAGAAGCAATACAGCACATTCAGCATTGTGTGATGCTTTCAATTATGCTGTCTATCAGTTCCATAGGAAGCGAGAGCCTATGCTCTTGCAAAGCAGTTGCAAGCGCGGCAAGGGTCTAAGGGGGCGGATTGAGAGCAGCTAGACGTCTCCCTAAAGCATCCTAAACGTGCTCGATAGGTTTCAAGTCAGGGATTGAGCTGGCCACTCCATGCGCATAATTGTTTCCTGTTGAAGATAATCACATACGATGCGAGCCCTGTGTGGTCTTGCATTGTCGTCCTGTAACAGGAAAGCATCATCTATTGCCACAGCATATGGGCGCACATAAGCATCAAGGATGTCATCTCTATAAACATGAGCATTCATGTTTCTCCTTGGAAAAACATGAAGGTCTGTGCTTCCACCCAAAGAGATGCCACCCCAAACACTGACACTTTCCCTTCCGTATGCATCTCTTTCACGGATGTTTGACGGAAGATAACGGGTTCTAGGTTCTCTCCATATCAAATAACGCCTACTATCGCTTTCTAGACTAAACCTGGACTCATTCGTAAAGAGAACCGCCCACCATTGGTCAGGCGTCCAGTGGACATGTTGTCGTTCCCACTGAAAACGGTCCCTCCTATGGCGTGACTTGAGCGGCACGCAAATGGTTGTTCGCCTCGCATACAGACCACCTTCGCGAAGCCTTCTACGCACAGTTGACGTTGACACCAGCCTTCCGGTGGCTGCAGCATGGGAGGATCTAAGAAGAGTCGGAGTAGCGGTTCTATTCCTGCGTGCACATAATGTCAAATATCGGTCATCGGCCCTCGTCGTAGCAGTTGGCCGTCCTTGGCTGAACCTCCTAGATACCGAATCTGTGGTTTGAAATTGCCTCCAAAGTCTATGAACCACAGAAGTACTCACATTTAGCCATCTGGTCATTTCTGTTTGACTTTGTCCTGCCTCTAGTCTCCCAATGGCTCTCCACCGCAGTTCTGCAGGCAAATGATGCCTGGAGGTCTTTATTACAAATTGGCTATCTCAGATTTCTGATGTCACTGTCACAGTGAAATATGTGGGCTTGCTCTCAAACATGGACTTTTATGCTCCTCGCAGATGACGTATTCCGAAAGCAGCGCCACTAATTTGCATATCGCAGTTTTACTCAGCTACTCTTACTTAGCAACATATTCAAATTTTACACCGTTTAGCTTTTTTTTTAGGGAATTATCGCTATTTTTGTGATTTTTCCTTAATTTATGATAACCAGTGTAGAAAATACTATATTCATACTATATTCATAAAATACTATATATATATATAGTAAGGCATAAATAAGCTAACATGTATGTTCAAGAAAATAAATGATCGCTAGCTGGAGTTCTCAGCCCGTAGGAGGCGGAAGGGAATTGTCTCCTGGAAGTGAATCTCAGTGCCAGGGGGGGGGAATGCGATCAGTCAGATTTCAGAATATTTAGAAATATCCCATCTATGTTTTTTACTATGTTAACTCCCAATGTACGAATGTTCAAGAACGTATTCAAGATCTCATATATCACAATCATCTCAAATGTTCAAGGAAATAAACCGCTGAAGGGGTTCTTAACCAGCGAGAAATTCTCGCCTAGAAACGAACCTCATAATGTCAGGAGGGAAATGCAGTCAGCCTTTTATTTAGTTGTTAAGTATTGAATTTTAAGCTTATGAATATGCAGATATAAACTAGTTTTATTAAATTTTCGGTATTTATCAACATTTTCTGTACTTTTTGTTGTTTAACCATCTGAGTGGCACGGCGTTTTGAATCTCCTCATGAAAGCTTGTATTTAAAAGTGCTCTAGCTAAATTTTTCTAATAATTTGTTTTAGTCTCTGTTTCCTTAAACTTCCATTCATTAAGATATAATTACATCGTTAAATAAAGTAAGAAAGCAAAATATTTAAATATTATTTTAATTATTTATAAAATTATTGTAAAATAGCTTAAATTATAATCTAATATGCATCAAAAAGCAACAAAATTCATTGCAAGAGAAAGGCGGTCATGCCACTCAAGGGGTCCATTTATTCAATATGTTAAAAATAATCTCAATGTAAATAAATATATATACGTATATAGTATTTTTCGAATTTTGGAGATGATGTTCTAGCGATGGTAGAAGGGGTACGTGAGGCAAAACCGATTAAGAAACACTGATCTAGAGAGAATATTTTTGATTCCGTTATTAATCCATCTGTATATTGATGCTGTTGAGATGTAAGATATCTAACAAAGGTTCCTTCTTTGAAAAATGTTCTCTGAAGAATTCAGAGAGGGAAAGAGAATACGAGACACTTCGATTTCAATCAGAACTGTGATGCATCTTAAGCCCTGAGGATTAACAACCCCTCGTAAATTATTTGAATGTCTGTAAGAAAAAAGATAACATTTTAAGACTGATCCATGCTATGATCAAACTGATAGAAAAAATTGCTTATAAAAGGCTTGACATTTTTTTTTCTGGAAGACATTTTCACCAAAGAAACTAAGCATAGGAAAGTATCATTAATGAACATCATTAATGAATCATTAATGAACAAAACGTTTAAAACTAGAACTACGAGTAGAAAACCGTGTGGAACTAAAAAAACTAAGATATCGAGCTGCAGAATTTGCACGAGCAGGCAAAAATCCTCTTTGACGGAAAGAAGAAATTATACTAAAAGAACCTAATCATAAAAGCTGATTAATTAACATAAAATTACCTTACAAGCTATTCGTAATCAATTCAAATTTCTGTTTTCAAGCTCTTGATAAGAAACACTTTAAAAGTTTCAAAACCTACCATAAAGAAAGACTTGAATATTCCTAAGTAAAATAAGATTTTTGACTCCCTATATTACAAAATAAAATTAATGTTGAACATATGCTAGATTAACTAAGCAAATGTAACCCAAACAAGATTAATGAAAAATAAAGACATGAAATTTAAATTAGAATATTTTTTTTTTTTCAATACTAGTCGTTCTATATATTCTATATATTATCATGAAATAATTGAACTTTTAGAAGTACAATGTTGTAATTTTAATAATGCATTAATATTGATGTAAGTAGTAACAGTATGGAAACATGAAAAGACATTTAAAATTAAGCATTCCTAACATAAACTTACTTAATTTTTCCTTTATTATTTAAATAAGATGTGTTTTTATAGTTCATCCAACTCAGCCAGTCACTTTAATAAACTTCACAATTTTCAGTTGCATATGTGGTTGGTAACTCTGCTTGAAAGTTCTGCAAGAAAGAAACAGAAATGCAGGTTATTAGAAAATTGTTTCTTTCAACTGCATTAATAATAATAATAAAGTCCGAAAGCTTTCAGATTTTATATTACCCCAAAGGGACTTTTTTAACGTTTTTTCTGTTACCTTTATTTGTTAAATATCATGTTCTTCGCTCTTAAACTACATAAAATCCAACAGCAATATCACAAAATATTTACAAAGAGCATATCTTTAGAATTCCTGATACGCAGTCTCGCGCGCTGGAGATATATATATATTTTTTTATCCGTACAGTGTTGCCATTGCTTGCTTTAGTTCAGTTTGTTAATCAAAAATTCGTTAAAGTTTTACAAAATACATAATAAAATAAATTCAAAATTCAAAGTTTGTGCTTCCAGGCACCCACGTTCCGATGGAGGACTAACGTTATTCAAAATTCGATGAATCTATGTACCAACGTTTTTCCACAGTGCGTGAAACATACATACATTCATGCAGATTCTTCATTATTTAATTTCTTTAAAAATTATACAGGGTGATAATATTTTGTGGCAACAATGTAAAAAGAGATTCATCCTCTATAACGAAACGCCACAAAATGCCGTTTTGAGACTAATAGCCCTTCTGCTTAATAGCTACAGCTCTTTTGGGCGAAATTAAAAAGGCTGTTCTTTTAAAGATTAAAAAGTTATTTTCTTCCTCCTTTCCGCATGCCTTCATGATGTAACTAGAAGAATGCTCGATGCGTATTCCGGAGATTCGAAGTCAGAATCCCGGCGACGGTATTGTATATTTTTTATGTTCCGGCATCGATTTAATGACTCACCAGATTTAAAAAAATAAACAATAGTATAATATAAATTAAAAAAAAACTAAAAGCTTGCAGATTTTACATTACGAGGGGCGTTTTTTTTAAACGTTTTGTGTGTTACTTTATTTATTAAATCTCATGTTCTTCGCACTTGAATCATAAAGTTCAATTCAGCAGCAAAATCGCAAAATAATATTAAAATGAGCATATCTTTAGAATTTCCGATACACAATCTCCCGTGCTGCAGATGAATTTTTTATTTATTTATTTATTTTTTACAGTGTTGCCATTGCTCGCTTTGAAATCGTTCAGTTTGTTAATCAAAAATTCGTTAAAGTGTTACAAAATATTAAATCGGTAATAAAACAAATTCCAAACTAGGTCTTGCAGATGCCCATATTTGCAGCAGGATATTACGTTATTCAAAGTTTGATGGCTGTACATACTGTTGTTTTAACATAATGCGATAAACATACAGTCATTTACGCCAATTCTTCATTATTTAATTTCTTTAAATATAATACAAGGCTGTAATATTTGGTGGCAACAATTTGAAAAGTGAATCGACGCAAAATGCCAAAACGAAATTAATAGCCCTTTACGTTAATAGTTTATATTATTTGGTAAATTAGCTAAATATTTTAACGAAATTGCAGAAGTGTCTAATATATTTCAGTTTATGCTGTATTTTCATGTTTTTCTAAGAATAATATATGGAAAGAGGGGTTTGTTTTCGAATGGAAAATGTGTTGGTTAGATGTTTTTTTTTTTTTTTTTTTTTTTTTTTTTGCTGTAAATTATTTCTTCAGAAGTAATATTGCATTATAAAATATGCAGATGCAACAAATGAGAGAACAATTATATTTTGAGTAAATCTGAACTCACTTCTAGAAATTTCCCTATATAATAATTTATTCCTTGCATCATTCATAAGCTGTTACAGCAACTAAGGTGCAAACTTCTGCCATCTGTTATTAATAAAGCTAATTTGACAGAGGTAAACCGTTATTAATATTTTAATCGATGTGTGAATTGCAAACTCAGGGCAACAGAATAACTAGGGTTGAACAGTATAATCTATTTGGTCAGTGGTAATTTGGTAATAAATATGGATGCGATGTTGATATTGATTTCAAGGAAAAAAGAGATGTTATTAAATAACGGCAAAAGGATTGCAAAATGTTTCATCAAAGTATTATATTTACAAAATAAAACTAAACAAATATAATAAAATAAAAATCCAGAAACGAAATGCAAATAAAGGTGTAAGGATTATGCTAATTTTAGTAACAGTTAAATTTTAAGTTAAAGTTCCTTTCCTGTCAAATTCTTAACTTCAACTTACTACTTCCGGCCAGAACGTAGTTTTGAAATCTTATTGAATATTTAAAGAGGAGGAGCGGTATTTAAACCACTAAGTTACTTACAGAGTGAGAGAGAATCAGAGTTTCTCGATTACGCGAGTCTGCCCTTTGGCCACTCTCCTCTCAAAGCTTCTATAGACTCGTCCGTCCTCAGCCCTTGCTAAGCTCGTAGTCAAATAAGTTAAGGGCCAACTCGATTTGAATCTTGATAGTTCGGCTATATTTCTTTAGTTATCTTAGTTTTAGTTTAATTCTTATCTCTTAAGTTTCAAGCCCCAAGTGTCGCTTTTTTGTCACTCCCAGGCGGAGTTTTTGTTAAATCTTATTGGAATAATAAAGTTTTAGTTACCCTTCTGTCTTGTTGTTTCTTGTCACCCGAACTTAAGCGATTATTCGCTTATCAGTTCTTAAGATTCTTCACTTCCAACATTAACTTAAAAACTCTACAAAGGAAAGAAATAACTTACAAAATTTGACTTTCTGTGGTAATGTAAATTAGCATGAAATTCCTAACAAACGTACAGAGAATCATCTCTGTGTCTAAAGTTAACGACAGAGATTGAAAAAAGTTAAAATAATCTTTTTGTTAAATCAGAACTTGAACATAAAATTAGCCAAAAGGTTGAAAACTGCTGGTCTAAGCTCTTAAAAGACTTGTTTAGATGTGATTTGTTTTCATTTCGTTTCAATCCTCAAATCCTGAGCAGAACATAAAATTGAATATAGGCGGGGAAAAAAAAAGAAGCTGCGTTGAATCCACAGAAGACATAAGACTTTTCACAGACCTTGTGAATTATAGCAATATGTTGTTTATAGTAGAAGTAAAAAGAAAAAAAATATCAAGTAAAAGAAAGTAAAAGAAAAAAAAATATATCAAATTAGTAAAAGAAAAAATTTAGTAAAAGAAAAAAAAGAAAAAAAAAATATCAAACAAAATGAAACATTAAATATAGATTCTTTCTGCTAATAAAACTTGATGATGATAAATCTCAATAGCAACAACGAAGTGATAATTCAAGTGATAACAATTTTCAAGTTAAGGAGTAATGGAGAGCTTGATCACTACTTAATAAGATCTGATGGCGCAAGGCTCAGATAACACAGATAAGATTACAAGGGCTCAGATAATATTCTCATCAGAAATTAAAACTAAATTCCAGGTTTAACTTCCGTTTCTTTTATTGTTGTTACTAGGCTCACTTCTCTGACAATGATCAGCACAAGCCCACGAGATTCATCGTAGCAAAAAGTCAAATGCGCCTGTCATTGGCAAGAGCCTTGAGGACCATATAGGGGACAGCCCGACTTTAGCCCTCACTTATACCTTGTTATTACACCTTATTATTCCTGTGCATCATCCCACTACAAATTGTCTTTTCTCTGGTACCCTTGCTGCATATATACTTACTTTGTAAATATTATCTGCCATAATAATTGCATATGCACGTTCTTTACTTGCGCACTTACCTTCGCCTCAGGCCTGCTGCCGTAGGTGTTTTCGTTCGGACTCTCCCATATGGTGTATACTGCATATAGTGACTTTCACATTTCGTTGGACTTTTGTGTGTTATTTTCCGATTCCAAGTGCTCGTACAACTCAAGGAATCGAAAATCGACTACCATTATGGCGGGTTAGCGATCATATGCGAGCACCCTTTTCTGCGAACTTTTTAGAGTTCGCCTGAGCCGACTTTAGCTCAGTCTCGTCCTCAATTTTAAGAAAAAGCACGTCAGGGGAGGAACGGGTCCAAGACTCTCCTACCCCTCTTACTCTACCACAATCTTGTAGAGACATTAGGTGCTTTTTTGGAAGCAAGACAAATGGAAAATGAGCAACACCTTCGCCAGGATTCGAACCATGGATCTCTGGAATAGGCGCCGAGCGTGCTGACCACTACACTACAAACGCATGCTGAGAAGGCGGGAGAAATACCTTATATGTCCCCCCTTTAAAGGGCGACTGGTGTTTTAGGAGACCCAGTCGCCAAATCCTGGGTGTGAAGAATCATCATCCACCACCTTTTTTTTAGTTCGGGCGCAAGTGTAGAGATATTAGGGTTTTTTGGAAGCAGGAGAGATGAAAAATGAGCAGCACCCTCGCCGGGAATCGAACCACGGACCTCTGGAATACGCGCTCAGCGTGCTGATCACTACGCTAGGAAAGCGTGCTAAGAAGACGGGAGAAATACCTTATAATCCCTCCAGAGGATTTTCGACCTGCCGCATATTTAGAGTGCCCCATGTCGCACAGACACTATTCATTTACAAACCCCATGTCTTCTCCGGGATTCGAAACCGGAACCTTCGGTGCTGCAGTCAGAGTCTCTAACCACTATCAAGGTTGGACGGCTGGCTTCTCTTTTATTAGCCATAGGGACTATTTGCTTAATTAAACGAAAATCAAGTACCAGGTTACAGCCGGGAAGCAAAAAATTTTACCTGAAAACTGAGCAAATTCTAAACATTAAATAAATATCTTACTCTAAAATTTACATCTTCCGGAAGAGTTGAAGTAAAGCAATGGGCAGAAATAACTTGAACCAAACGAGTTTAAAAATAAAGTTTTATGCAAATATTTATTATTAGATGGTAAGTCTGAGTATTAGGTTTTTATTTCGTAGCATCTGATTCTATAAATTTTCAGTTTACGTAATTTACCTTATTAATACGAACAAGTATTGTGCACTCATCATTAAAAAAGTTCAGTTCAGGCCTTTTTGATTGACTTTCCAATATATTGGTATCTAAAAAATTCACGTGATTTAAATTTCCTGTATTTTCAATAGATTGTCGTCAGCTGTTAAAATGAGCTAAGTAAGAACGTCATTGAACAAG